CTCCCTATGTGCTTCTCGGCCTACCTCCTGACTGCAGGGCGAGGCAGTCCAGGAGGCTGCTCTTGCCAATGCCGCAGGGAGTCAGGGGCTGCCGCCGCAGCTCCTGCTTGAGGCTGTCGTGGGAAAAGGCTAAAGATAGCCTGTTCCCGAAACCCTGGTTTTGTGCCTGAGTGTTGGTGCAAGGAACATGAATGTGGACGAAGCACAGAAATCCAGACTGCAAAATCACACTGAAGTCCAAGTAGTCAAAGCAAGAGCAGATTGCAAAATCACACTGAAGTCCAAGTAGTCAACTTATGCTTTAGCACCTTCTTGTCCCAGTCAAGTTGGGGCTTGGCAACCTCAAGGTAGTACATCCCTAACAGCATATCGAATAGTACGTCGTTACTAACTAGGATCAAAATCTTGTGATTAAGTTCCCCTCCTCCATAGGAGAAGGTCCAGAATACATCCTTGATATAATCTGTGACAATCATGCGCTCCTTATTGGCCAAAGTAGATGCTACGGGTCTACTAAGGTGCTGTACCCGATCCTGTAGGTGCAGCCTTTCCAAACAGTCGCGACTTATGTAGTTCCGCGTGGAGCCAATGTCTATGAAGGCACCACATTTGTGGCCTCCTACATCAACTTCCACAACGAAATGTTCCCCTCTAGGTCCTTTCCTTAGTGCCATCCAAGATTCGCGAGGGTCCTTCACTCACTTTCCAAATCTTCTAAGGCTTCAGACACATCCAACGTACAAAGCATAGTTTGGTCTGGATGAGCCTGCAGGGTGACTAAAGAGTCATTAGCTATGGCCATTTCATGAAGTGGGGAGGGTATCGAGCCCACTTCACCATGAGTAGAAGCAACTAAAACTTCCACCGGCCTCACGTGTTTCCCGAGCTAGAAGCCTGGGAAGAAGGTGCCCCCATCTTAGGAGGTATCTTCTGCGTGACCTTTGCGTTCTTGCACTTATACTGGGTGTGTCCGTATTCACCACAGTTGATGCAAGCACCACGCACTCTACGGTCCCGCCACACTTCCTGATCAAGACCTGCCTTSAYCCAATCAGCAACTTTGGTCTGATTGGAGGCGRCCTGCCCTTGACTCTTTTGATGGYCYTTCCCTCGGCCACCRGCCTTAGTCTTAACTACYGCGGCGAGGGTGCTACCCTCASCGATMTCCTCGCCGTCGTACTCTRAATAGTCCAACAGGTCTGTGAGCTCTTCGATCTCCGTTTGAGTCCCATTGGACTCAACCATCATCAATTTGCTCCCCTTCTTCTTCCATTCCTGTGGACTCTTCTTCTTCCTCGCGTCAACTGAAGTAGGTTGAGCACTTCCTAGAGTGGCCTCTAAATCTAAGGCTTTTCTATATAAGGTCTCAAATGAGTGATACTCGAGGCGAACCTCGCTGGCCAGCAAATTTCTGAGATTCTCTGGGAGACATCTCACAAACGTGGTCAGCAAGAACTGGTCATCGTAGTTTATGCCAGGAACGACGATGAGGCTCTCTACAGTAGTCGTAAGCTCTCTGACTGACTTGAACTTTCTTTGGTCTACTCTGTGCATCGCATAAGTGGCAATTTGTGCCTGCTGTGGATTGTGCCAACGAGCTTTTACCATTTCTAAGAACTGGTGTAACGTAATGGTCTTAGCCCAGTCCGCCATGCGTCGTCCGTACCCGGCCTTTGCGACTAAACCATCCAGCCATTTGGCTGCCTTACCCTCAAGGTAAAATGCAGCAATAATCACCTCCTCCGCCTGCAAAGTCCTCTTCGCCTTTACCCATACTGGAACCGTTCTCAACCATGTGTTGAGTTCCTCGTCCTTCTTCTCTCCGGAGAAGGCAAGGGCGGTTTCATAGGGGTCTTTGGGTACCATTGACCTTGTTGTTGTCCCTGTTGAGGAACAGGTTGTTGCGGTGATGGTGTCGCAACCACCGCTGACCAACAAGAAGAAGAAGCAACAATCTGTGCGGCTGCTGCAGACGTACCACTTGGCTGCGTGCCAGCTTGTACCAACAAGGGGCCTGACATCGTCATTAATAGCAACGGCGACTGTCCTGCTGGTCGGAATCTTGGCCTTTGCAAAAGGTCCAAGATCTGGTCTAAAGAGTTCTGCATGAAGTCTAACCTGTTGTCCACATGCGCATGCAGCGACAACATGTTGTTCTTCAATATTTTCACTTGGTCAATCATGGTTGATTCATCAAAACCCTCTAATGCAGCTTTGTCTGCCTCTAACGTATCAAGCCTGGCTGTTCTATTTTTGATCTCTCTTTCTCTATCGGTTGCTTGCTTCAGTTCCCTCTCTAACCGCTCGCGGATCCTTTCGACCTGTTGAAGCTCTAGGAGCTCCCTACCGCGTGGGGTCAACGAGCTTAACTGCGAGCCCGCCATTTGACTTGCGGACTGACCAGAACCTACTGATCCGGAAGTACCCGGGGATCCAAGGGGCATCCCCAACTGAGTCCCAGACGAGGATGCACCAAAGGCTGCGCCGTTAGCCATTGCTGCTGCTCTGGCTGCTGCTGCCTGTTCTCTAGCTGTTAGGTTTGCTGTTGCCCTCACTACTGCAAGAGCACGGGCTCTACGTTCGGCACGAAGCCGAGCTTCGTCTCCCAACTGTAGGGTCTGGAACACGTACGGGACCCTACGTGATCTCGAACATGTCAATCTCGCATTGTCAACTCTACCCTCATCGGTGTCTGATCTGCTCATCAGTTAGGCAAACACTGCCTGCACTACAACTCGCTGCTAGACTCCTACCACAACATGTGTCTGACCGGCACCTAATTTTCTAAAAACAAATGTGTCCGGCAGGTCCCCTACTTGACCGATCAAGTGGCACCCTACAACATTCACAAAACACTGTCCACATAGTTTAGTCTTGTCATGATTAGTTCACTTACAGAAGTTTGCATAGAACTGGCTATGGTAGTATACAACAGTCCTAATACTAAACTATCTGTGAGGTATTAGCAGTCTATTAACCAACTAATCAAGAAAAAAACCAGACTATGTTGCAGATGTATGAACAGTGGGTATAGTTGTGTCTACAGTTCAGCACCAATTAGAACCTACCCTCCCCTCAATCCAACATACCGAAAAGCATCTTTGAGCAGCAGTGTCTTCGTGTGTTGTGTCGGCCACCCCTATGCCCCAAGTCATTGTCGAGCAAGCCAGCCCATCCACTCTTATTTACCCTCGTACAGATTGAGCCTTACTACCCGGTGTGATCTGGCTGATCAGGAGGGATTTAAGGAGAGCCCCCATCTCCGCAGGAATTACTTAACGACGCAGACAGGACGACGATCACAGCCAGTATCAACATCGAGTCCCCAACCAGAAGTATTTATAGACGGTCTGGTAAGCGTCTCTTATGGGCTGGCACACCTGGCACTACTTCTACAGCGCAGCAAAGTGCCAAAATGGACAAGCAGCCATCGCATGCGTGACCTACTCCCATTGGGTTGGCATGGTGACCGTGACCCAGTGCTTCGACCAGGGCCCTTCAGAGGCACCGCCCTTTATCCTTCCAGATGCTTCCGGGAAGATTATCGTCTCTCAAGGTAGCGCGCACACGACACCTCACCAAAAGAGAGGACTCTCAAGTTGGACTCACTTCCTCGCGGTAAGAAGAGATTGAGAGAGTAGATAAGGTAAGGGAACAACGTACCTGGAGATAGCTGCCCCCAACCACAGATTTCTCACCAATTGAGCTGAGTGTGCATTTGATGACCGGTCGTAGCCTCGGTACCACCCACAACGCAATGCAGTGCCACCTCAGCTTAATGCCACATCAGCATGCTCTCATCACCAATCATACATTCCGCAGTAACCACGACAACCCATGCCGTATAGCCTTCCGGCGCACACCTCTCTACCCAGGTCGTGCGCCTAATGTTGGCCTGACGTCAAAGGAACCAACTGCGAAGAAGCATCATCAACACCAAGTCTGTATAACGCCAGCGCACCAAGGTAAGTGGCGAATCAAACCATCTCCGATACCAAAATGCAAGGAACATGAATGTGGACGAAGCACAGAAATCCAGATTGCAAAATCACACTGAAGTCCAAGTAGTCAAAGCAAGAGCAGATAGCACAATGGAACCGAGTAACCATCCATTTGAGAATGATACAGAAGAATCGTTAGTCAATGTCCAAGCCCAATCGGGCAACACCAACAACATAACCCAATGTAGCTCTCTCTCTTGAATGGCGCCAGGTGCCCTACCTACTCTACAGCCTATCACTACAACTACAATATGAAAGCAAACAAACAACTTGACGACCAGCGAGTGATGATGTCAACACCAATGCCGACCTCCCCTCTCCACCAGGTACGTCTGTCTCTTCACCCTCACTCTCCCTTGTTATCCCACATAGCGCCCTTCAGCTCCGAAGAACCACCTTCACCCTTCCTCCTCTGCGCCCACAGGCAGCCCGGCTATGGCCGCCAGCGCCCTGCGCCCAGGCAGCGCTCTACCGCTCAGCGCTAGCCTGCCTCTACCTCAGCCTAGCGCAGCGCAGCACCTCACAAACGTGCAGCTTGCCGGCATTGCTCGCAATGGCCAAGATCCGTGCCCACTCGCCCTCCCTGCCTATATGCCAGTGTTGTGTGTGGGCGGCCTCCTTTGAGCCTGCGCCTGGGCCCCAGTACCTGTACCCAGGCCCAATG